AAAGCCGCCTCATGGCTGTGCACACACAGTCGACTCAAATTCAATTTATAAATCGAGTTAAAATTTGTCGTCATTTGAAATGATGAGTTGGATTTATATGTATATTTTTAAAGAATGTTTTTAAAAATCAACTAAAGAACACAAAAAAGAGCAAACAATTTTTTTAAAGATTGTTATTAAAAATCAATCAAAGAACACAAAAAGACAGAAAGACAATAGTCTAATACATTATTATATTAAGACCATTGCTCATTATTATTCTAAGTCAAGGCAGTTTCATGACTCATGAGATAGACATTGGGTCACCCACAAAGAGCTCATAAGAAAATTTTCCACATCTACAATTAACAAACCCAAGAGAGGGAAAATATTGAAAATCAAGCCAATTATTAAAAGCATAATGCTTGTTGTTGTATGAAATTAACAACGTAAAATTACAAACAGCTGAGTGTATTTAAACAAAGATTAAAGTAAAATTTGATTTTATTTGATATAGTCACAAGAGTACAGGAGTCGGTTTTTTATTGTTAACCGAGGTCATCTCAAGTCCATGTACAATGTGTTCCAAAAAGATCCTCGTACTACCATAAATTCTGCTATTTATAGTGCGGTAATTTTTGTCTTCTTGCTCGAAATGGATAAGGATGTATTTAATGTTGAGCTGCTTTACTTTAAACGGTGGGAAACATCAATGATTACTTTTTCGTTTTGCTGGTCCAATCAAATGCTTCCAGCTTCCAGATGCTTCCAGCTTTGTTTTTTGCTTGGATATTTGAACTTTGTGGTAGTCGGTTTGAATAGAGGAAACTTGATTCGTCTCATCATAATATTTATTTAACTGAAGTCGGTTTACTCGCAGCTGTTTCAATAGTCGATTCCTTCGACAATTTCAGAAGTCGGTGATTTCTCAGAAGTCGGTCATTAATTCAATGAATACCGACTTACCTTAAGTTCGTCTTCTTCTGGAGGATTATTTCTTTAATGAAGTGATTAATCTCTGTCTTCAATTATGTAATCAAGTCGGATATCAACAATGCTATTTGTACCATCTAGTTTACCACTTGTCTTACCATATAATATAACTTACAATTTTGCCCTCAACTTAAATTAATTTTGCCCTCAACTTAAATTGGCAATAACTAATTGAACTAACTTTTGCCTTGCACTGAATTATATTTTGCCATATAATCACCTTTCATGAAGCATTATATATATAATAATAATAAAAATATGTTAGAAAAAACATGAGTGAACCACCAAGGGTTTCAGAACAAATAGAAACACTTATAGAGATAATAAAGAAAACTCAATTAGAAACATTAGAAAAATTAGACGAAATAAAAGAATCAATAAAAGAATTACAAAATTTAGTACAAAAAGAAAAAAAACTCTAGGATTTTTAGAAAAATATGCAAAAGAATATAGAGATGAAATTTGTATAAGGAAATTAGAACACCATGAAATGACTAAGGTCGATTCAAGATGTTGCAAACAATTAAAAAGTGTACCACAAGAATTTGGTTGTTATAACCCATACAAAAAGAAAAGATATTATAAATACAATAAGTTTAATAGACGATATAGACCAAGAAGTGTTGTGTACTAAGCTGGTTTTGTTCATAAATGACTATGTAATTTACTGAGATTTGGGTTTGGAAATGGTTATGGTGTGTAATAAATTTATCGGATATGTTTTATGTATTTTTGGATATTTTTCATAAGAAACTTAGTACAGAAACGGAGGATTTAGCTGAGAGAATTTTAGAGAGAAAAAGGAGGAAACAATAGAGAGGAGGAGAGAATATTGCATAACCAATTCTCCATTCCCGATGCAAAAACGTTCCACATAAAGCATCTCTGAAACTAACTTGCTTACATCATAATTGCATTTGAAAAATAAAGATAAAAAGAATTAAATAACTAAAATGGGCTTCATATCTGCTTTGGCCCAAACTCCACGGCTTTATCCTTTTAGCAGCTGGACTTCCTCATCTTTAGGCTTGTCATGTTTTGTTTTCATAAGCCCATCTTGAAAACCCGGCCCAACTTTGCTGCCTTCATGTCCTAGCTCCTCAGCAACTTCGATCGTCTTCTCCCCCTTATCAATTTTCTCAAACCGTAATTGATTTCTGTCCAGCAAATTCACAACATCTCTCCATCCATTGAAAGATCCTTGTCCCCAAGGGTTCACTCGATGCCACCCACGAGGGTGGCACCCATTGGAGTGCTCATAGCAAATGCTTCCAATATTAATTCTATAAATAGTATCCATTTGCTATATAATATTTTTCTTTTATGCAACAGCTACTTGTGTTTGTAAATTTCTTAATCTTTTTAATTGTTTTTCACATATCATTATCATGTCATAATAAAATTCTTCACTTGTAATATCATGTAAATAAGAATATCTTATTATTTCTGTTTTTATATTTTGAATTTCCCATTCTATGTCCAAATAAATTTTTATTGTACTCATTTTCTTTATTTTTTATATCTCCAAGGATCTAAACATTTTTCAAAGAACTGTTCTTCTGATCTTGAAAAAGTTCTACTATTTGTTTCTAAGATTCGGATAGCTAGATTTATACATTCAAGCTTATCTTTCCAATATTTTATGTGTTTTTCGTGTATTTCAGAATGTGGTACTGTATTTGCAATTTTCTTTTCAAGAGTTTTACGTCTTGCTAAAAATGCATTTAACCAATCTATTTGTGGCATTTTTTAGTTAAGTATTTCGCCTGTTACCAGGCTCTGATACCATATTTTAACCTTATATATTTTCTTCTTTAAAGCCATCTATATTATTGTTTTAGGTGGTCCTATTCTATGTAATTTTTTAAATTTTTTCTTATATTTTTGTATATCATATTCTATCTGTTTTATTTTTTGTTCATCCTTGTTTATATATGAATATTGAATTGATTTTTCTATTAAATAATCTGCTTCTTTGATT